GTTTGTGTGGGTGTGTCTGCATATATCTATCTACGCATATATATGACTAAAGTCTTTGTCCAGTGTTTATTGTGTACATAACTGGATTTTCCCCCGCAATGTTCTTCCGTCCGTAGGGTATCAAAAACTTCGAAGACGATTTCGAGGCTGCGTGCCAAGCAATTGGGTTGAATCACAGGTGTGTTATTTAGTCACAGATGAGTTATTTAGTCACAAATGTGTTATTTAGTCACAGGTGTGTTATTTAGTCACAGATTTAATATTTAGTCACAGGTGTGTTATTTAGTCACAGGTGTGTTATTTAGTCACAGGTGTGTTATTTTATCACAGGTGTGTTATACGTGTATGCAGTACTGTTTTGGATTTGCTATCGATGTTGAATCCTGATTGTTTATTCTGGTACTGTCTTTGGTTTGTGGGTCTGGTGCTGTCCGTTTTTGGGGGTCTGGTGCTGTCTTTTTTGGGGTGTTGGGTGCAGGTGCTGTCTTTAGTTTGTGAGTCTGGCGCTGTCTTTTTTGGAGGGTGTTGGGTGCAGGTGCTGTCTTTGGTTTGTGGGTCTGGTGCTGTCTTTTTTGGGGGTGTTGGGTGCAGGTGCTGTCTTTAGTTTGTGGGTCTGGTGCTGTCCTTTTTGGGGGGTGTTGGGTGCAGGTGCTGTCTTTGGTTTGTGGGTCTGGTGCTGTCCTTTTTTGGTGATGTTGGGTGCAGGTGCAGTCTTTGGTTTGTTTTTTTGGAGGTGTTGGGTGCAGGCTGTTTAGCTCATGGTACATAGTCGTGTCTTTGATTTGGGTTAGTTCACTCCATTGGTCCCAATGAGTTGTTGTGTGTTATCAGTAGCACGGCACACCAGTCAATTGGTCTGTCTGAGTGTCTGATTTTACGACTATAGTTTAACTTGACTATAGTTTTCTGTTTATATGTACTTTTGTTTACTGTAGCATGTACTTATATGTACTCTAACATGTATTTATATGTATTTTTGTGCATTGTCATATGCACTTACAGTTGCTCTATCATGTACTTATATGTTCTCTAACATGTATTTATTTGTACTTTTATGTACTGTAAGATATACTTATAGTCACATTAACATGTACTTATATGCACTCCAACATATATTTATATAGAATCTAACATTGTATTTATACGTACTTTTATGTACTGTAAGATGTACTTATAGTTACTCTAACATGTACTTATATGCAGTCTAACATGTATTTATATGTACTCTAACATTGTATTCATTGTATTTATATATACTTTTATGTACTGTAAGATGTACTTATAGCTGCTTTAACATGTACTTATATACATTCTAACATGTATTTATATGTACTCTAACATTGTATTTATACGTACTTTTATGTACTGTAAGATGTACTTATAGTTACTTTAACATGTACTTATATGCACTCTAAAATGTATTTATATGTACTTTTAAGTACTGTATCTTGTACTAGTATGGACTCTAAAATGTACTTATATGTACCCTAATACGTACCGACATGTACTCTAACTAGTACCCTCTTGCACGCATCTGTTTTATTCCTTCTCCAGTGCCGTAGAGGCCATTGACTTTGACGTGTCCAATCGAACGACTATGCTGGGTGCACTCGAAGACGTTGTGCTGCTGCGCTTAGAAGACATGGGCATTGATGTATGGTGGATTGACTGGCAACAAGGTATATACAAATGAG